ACATTGTGTGTTTTTTGTTGAAATTTTTATGTTTCTGGAACTGCATATCAATGATCTAGATATTCAGTGTTAGTTTTTAACCAAAACCATATAATTTTCTTTTTTTTCTTTTTAATCAAAACTTTTAGTACTCATTATGAAAGATATTTAGTCCATCAGAATAGAAGTGAAATAGGATCCTAGGCTAATTTTTTTTGATATTCTTGTTTGGTTGTTCTTTAAATCAGGGAATTGGTTGTGAGTATCAACATAGTGAAATCGCCAGGCTCAATCCGAGAGACTGTTGGTATTAGTTTACTGGGAATTGTATTGATCCAACCTGGCGTCGTGTGAGCTCGTATTCTTTTTAATACGTTCATGTTGATTATGAGACTGATATATCGTGAACAAATTGGATTTTTTACATGTTTTGGAAATTTTACAGTTGAATTGTATTGAATTATAGCTTTAGAAGACAATTATGCATGAACGCAACTCGAAAGACATCTTGACATGGTAGTATATTTAGAGCAACTACTTGACCCTGTCATGATGCCTTTCGAGTTGCGAAAGAGACTGAGAGGTGAATGCGTTGTTTGTGATTTCATTATATTTGATCTTATGTTGGAAAATCTTTAACCACAAGGATTAAACGAAGAAATTATTATATGTCATTTATACAAAATAATTCTAGCTTTGTTGGTGTCTTTCAACAATGATACTTAGTTCATTTTAGTAGTATTTGTCAACTCTGCATTTTTAATCCCATTTTTTCTCACAAGCATTTCATCGAACATCTATGCTTCACCTGAGATGACATGTATCTAACATTACACTTTGAATCGTTGATGGTCCCGATAGTCCCTTAGTCAGGTCTTCTCTCAATGTACCCTTATTCAAGTTAACATCTCCACATAATTCAAAGTTAGATTAGAATTTCTCATGCATCCCTGACTGAAAAGTTACGCTGGAAATGAGAAGAGAGAAGCAAAAAAGGAAATTCGAGATCAAAAAGGAATTTTGGGTTTAAAATGAAATTGAGGACTGTGTTGCAAGTTTTAAAAGTTGGGGGACCTAAATGCAAGCGCCTAAAAAGTTCAGTAACCATATTGCAAACGTACTAACGGCAGTGTAACGGTGTCAAACGGCCGGTTACGTCGGGACTATATTGCAAACAGACTAAATGTTAAAGGACTGTATTGCAAGTTTTAAAGTTGGGAGACCTAAATGAAAGCGTTAGAAAAGTCCAGTGACCATTACTATACTTTACCCATAAAACTTTTAAGATGGTAGGCTACAAAACGTAACCGTTTCTGATGTACCAAAAAATAATAAATAAACTAGAATTAAATTTTAATAATGTTATTCTTTTCACTAAATTCTAAACTCTAAATTTTAAATTGACACACGCGTTTCTTGGCACGTTAACCATACTTCCCTCACACCGACAGTGTAAAGCTGTGTTTACTTGTTTTGCTTTGAAGCCATAGCTTCAATTTTACTCACTCTCTTCCGCCCCTTCGAATTCTCCGATCTGTTTTCTCTCCGATCAGTGCGGAAGATTAGTTATCCAAATTCTTCGCCATGGATATCGCTTTTCGAATAGACATAAAATGCGCCTGTATTTTAATCTTTCTTCTATTATCAACTCTATTAACATCGATCGATGCTTCGATTCACATATACCAGAAACAACTCTTCAATGAAGTCGGCAATGCTTACCTTCTTCCCGGAGGAAGCGAAGGCCTCGACGCTTCTCTTTCTTCCGATGACTCCGCCACCGACGGCCGATCTTTTATTTGGTAAAATTAACGAAACATTTCGTCCTCTTAAGAGTGTGAATTGTTTTTGTCTTTTTGAGAGTAGAATGTTATAGTGATTTTATCGATTTCGGATTAGATCTGTTAGAAAGTCAAGTCATTGATGCTTACCGCGTTTGGTGATTTACTATTATCTAAGCCTTCCTTGTGTAGTTTTAGTTATGAGGATCAATGAATGATGCATTACTCTTCTGTTTTCTTTTTTTTTCTTTTTGAAATTAATAAATGGATTTTCTAAATATTACTATTGTTAATTGCATATTGAAGTTAAAATGATTACCTGAGCAGATATAAATTTTCTGTGATGTTGTCACTTGATAAAAATATATAATTAATTTTGCAATTAGAAAATTGTTGTAGCTGTAGATGTGAAATAATTATGGTTTTCCAGAAGTAAGATTAGAATTTTGGTAATGAATCACGGACTCCATCTTCAAAATTCGATGCCTTGATTGTGAACTTTATATAGGTTCGAAAATATCACATTCTGGAGGACCCAGGATGCTGCATATGCACACAGTGAGATGGAACATAGCACCGGATTGATACAGGTTGTAATTTTTGAGGCTGCTGATAGGAACAATATAGGTGGTTCAGCTTATGGTGGACAGAGGTCAATATGTTGCACCCCTGATCTTGCTAAGCTGGAAGGTTGGAAGCAAGGTGAAGTCATTAGGATACCTTCTGCAACAGAGATTGATTGGCCAATTGTTTTAAATATACAGTTCAGTGGGAATGATTTATCAACAGATAAGGCGAATGCAGAGGTACCCATCAAGAAAACTGGGATGTATAATTTGTTTTTTATAGTATGTGATCCGAAACTAAAGGGAACAGTTATGAGCGGGAAGACAGTATGGAAGAATCCTGACGGCTATTTACCTGGGAGAATGGCTCCATTGATGAAGTTCTGTGTACATGGCAGTTGCTTATTTGTTTCTCAGTGCACTTTGGTTCTCGCAATACGTGAGGTTTTGGGAAGATATCCTACAACTTCAGCACTGCCTCGCTGCTGTCATTGGTCTGGGTTTGTTCGAAATGATATTGTGGTATTTTGATTATTCAAATTTCAATAAAACAGGAATGAGACCTGTTGTACTTACAGCTTGGGTTGTAACAGTTGGAGCTTTAAAGAAAACACTTTCTCGACTTCTCATACTTTCAGTTTCTATGGGCTATGGTGTTGTACGCCCTACTTTAGGTGGTCTTACCTCAAAAGTGCTTCTTATCGGAGCTACTTACTTTGTGGCATCTGAATTGCTAGACATTACTGAGCATGTAGGGACCATCAATGACCTATCGGGAAGAGCAAGACTCTTCCTAGCCCTTCCTGATGCCTTTTTGGATGCTTTCTTGATATTGTGGATTTTTACATCTCTTTCAAAAACACTAGAGCAGCTACAGGTATTTTGTAATTTTAATTTTTTTCCTGATTGAATGGTTGGAGATGTTAAGTTTATCCTTTGAGATAACCGTGGTTATTCTTTTCCATGACATTCATTTTTCATCCAGGCCAAGAGAATATCAGTAAAGTTGGACCTCTATAGGAAATTTTAAACTGCACTAGCTCTGGCAGTGATTGCTTCAGTTGCATGGATAACTTATGAGGTTTGGTTTGTCTAGGGTTTGATTTCTTTCTTGGTTGAAACTTTGTTTTCATAATTCATCGATAAATAACATTTGTAAATTACTGTGAGAAAGATTGTACTAAAAAACTGGTTTAGTAAAACTAAAATGGTGGATCTGATTTGTTTGTTATCACAGGTATACTTCAAAGCAACAGATTCTTTCAACGAGAGATGGCAAAGTGCTTGGATCATCACAGCTTTCTGGGACATACTTTCATTTGCACTACTCTGTGTTATTTGCTACCTTTGGGCTCCATCTCAGAGCTCCCAACGGTGCGTTTTATTCCTGTAAAAGTCTATTTGTGTCGGTTGAATAGGGTTAACCCTTTTTCCTTTATCTCGATTTAAAAAGGTATATCTGGCACGTCACCTAAGAAAGGGCACCTTATGGCCATACTTTTATTTGTGGACTAACCTTTTGTAGTGAATAGGCATTCATAGACATAAGCTTACCTTATAAATAGATTGTCATGGGCCATATGGTTTGAGGGGTATCATGTAGCTTCAATTCTTCTGTCTTTTTGTCACTTCTTTTCTGCAACATACTCAGTACTACTACTTGCTCTCAGTTATGCATGCTCGGAAGATGTGGGGGACGAATTCAACGATGAAGAAGCTCAATCTCTAACTAGGGGGCAGTCGAATGGGGATGTGAGTTTAGTCAAGCAAGACCGGAAGAATGGAAATGCCGGTATCTCTGACGAGGAGGATGAGTCTGAAGAGGATAAGAGGGAGTAAAATCTGTGAAACCAACACGATCAGAGCCCACGCAATGAGAAGCATGTTATCCTCGGCGGACGATTCCAAATTAGCATGCAAAGGGAAAAAAAGTGTTGCCTAATATTTTTTTGTCCAGATTTTGTAGCATTCTTCAATTGTACATGAGAAAAAGGGATCCCGGTTGGGCACGTATTCTAGCTTAGAATAAAACAGGTAAATCGAAATGTCATTATAGATCTCATATGACGCCTGAGCTTGGCTGTAATCTTTATTTATTTTTTTCTAGTCGAATCAAATCAAGTTGGAGTTTTGCTAACATTTGGTGATTTGAGAAAGGATTATAAAAAAATTGGAAATCAGAGCTAAAAGTTTTAGGTTGAAAAGGATTAAATTAGATTATTAATATTTTAAAGGGGTCAAAAATATTTAGTGAGTTAAAAATAAGGTATTAAATTATCAAAGGAACTAATAATGTAAATTTTTTTCAAAATAAGTCATCAATATTTTATCTATTTTTACTTTCTGGTATTCCTTGAATTTAATACGGCTGCGGATGCACTTGCTAAAAAGACAGATTAGACTCTCTTCACTTGCTCTCCATCAAGGTTCCTTCAAGACCTACTTACTCGATATTCATCCTTATTGTAAACATGCTCTAGCTTAACTTCTTAGCTTGACTCCTTTCAATTAAAAAAAATCAAAAAGAAAACAAATCAATAATGTAAATGATTGAGACATAATTTTTCAAAATTTAGTGATCAAAATACGATAAAATGAAAATAAAAGTGACATACGAGTAATTTACCCCTTTTAGTAATTTCTTTAGGGTTTTATCTGATCGGAAGGTGCATAAGTTAATAAGTTTTGATTGATTTCGGCCAGCTAAAGCATTGATTACTTCGAATTCACGAGGATTATAGCGGAACGAAAACCATTAGTTTCAAAATATACAAATCAATGGCTGGAAATATCGGTGGAGGTGAAGAGCAATTGAAGAAGACGACGGAATTGGGCACCACCCTAAAAAGGAGAAAGAATTCTAGCGCCCACTCGAAGACCCGATGGTACCTTTCGAAAACCCGTTCGAATTCGGGCCGGGTATGTTCCCCAAGAGGAAGTAGCCATTTACCAGTCCAAAGGTGCCCTGGTATGTCAGTTGCCCGTATATGTAATGTATGAATATATGTGCATGTAATTCCTCACCTTTTGCCTTGTTTTTAGTAGTTATGATATGAGGAAGAAGAGTAGGATGGCATTTATTTTTATGTGTATGCTATGCGTTTGCTTATATATGATGCTTCATTGTTTATGTTTGGTGTTTGTAAATGTGGAACTTTTTGCTGTGGTTCTATGGTTGGGTTTTGGAGTTAAAAATTTAATGTTAAAGTGACTCATTGTTGATATTCTTTTGTTGAATGAGCAGAAATTGAGCTTATAGTATTGCGACTGTCTCATTCAATTCAGCTAAAATTCGATGTTGTTTGCTGTTATCGGATTCTAAGATTGCATGTTAAAGTGATATTGATCTTTGTTTTATGTGACGCAGTGGAAAAAGGAGATGGCTTCCCAATTAGGGCCTCCTGGTTATGATCCACCTATGGATGCGAAACTGAAGAGTAAGTCGGCAAAGAGAAATGAAAGAAAGAAAGAGAAACGTCTACAGGTACGAAGCTTGTTGCTGCAATCTTGAATTAGTTTTGGTTTAATGGTTTATGCTATTTTGTGAAGACATATATGGTCTGCCAACAGCTTCCCGGGTTTTTATATTTCATGCAGGACTGTAGTTTATCATCTCTATTTTGACTAGTTTGCTTTGTAATTGAAAAGATAAAAAGACGAAGACTTTTACTTTTGTTGTGGTTCATTTTCACTTGCATTGTTGCTCGATGCAACAGCGATTTGTCGCACCTTCAAATTTATCTGAATGCATATCTACTGAATTAGCGAGCTGATATATTTAAACTGTTCTATACATTAGGCCGACAAGATTCTATATATTAGCACTTATCATTTCATATACCGATTTACTTATATGGCAGGCTGCTCTTGAAAAGGAGCAGAACTCAGACGCAGCGGGTGATGATGAGACCAAAGAAGATGATTTAACCGATGGGAATTTGGATCGCGGATCAAAATCAGTTGAATCATTGGCTTCTCAGATGACAGATCTCGCTGTTTCGCAAAATTCTATTCTGGCCTCTCCTTCCTCAAACTCAGTGGAGGCCTCAGATGCTGGAACAGCAGCTCAAGATCTCGATAAAAAAATTCGGGCGCTTAAAAAGAAGGTATGGTTCATTACACCTTTGTGTTAACGTGCAAGTAATGTGGTTATTCAGCAATTTTGCAACCTTTGTGCACGAGAAACAAAAGACTTGCGCTAGCGAATGTGACCATTAATTAAATCATCTGAAATGGGAGAAGGGCAATGAACAATATCCTCTCTTATTATTCTTCTCCATGTTCCAATAAATCTCGATTCCCATTCTTTCATTCTTTTTCTTGGATTCAGATGGGCATTACCGTGTACTCGAAAAGAATCAAGGTTACAACTGAATGTTTAAGTGACAACTGGAATCTTTGTTATAATATGTTGTTTATACGAGTTTCAATTTCGGGTTGTTTAAACATGTTTGAGGACTTTGAGTGACTTAAGCATAGAATTACTTCTTTACTTGGCACTGCAACATGGCAAGTTAATCGGTTACTTGAGTATCTATCCCGTTCCTTGTACTGTAGGGATGGTGGTTTTATTCTTTTCCCAAGAATCGTTTTAAATCTGACATGCTTTCCGTGCATAAAGCATCTGGCATACATAAATATTTATGTAATGTTTTTTATTTAACAAAATGTGGTTTGCATATCTAGATCCGGCTAGCAGAAGCTCAACAGCAGAAAACTCCGCAGCAAGATATGAAGCCAGAACAATCGGAAAAATTCGCAAAACTAGACAGTTGGCATGAGGAGCTAAAGCTTTTGGAGGACAAAAAGGCCGAACTGGCAGCATTGTAAGTTCCGTCTTCGTCTCCGTGAAGAAACTGTTTGGCTGATTTAGAATCGGAGAATTTGTTGTAAAAGTGGCACGTTGGTTCCGATCCGGATTCTTGCATATCGCCATGTTTAAGTACTACCTTTGTAGTTTTAAAACCTGTACGTTTGCCAACTTAGATTAGTAGTTTTATCAGCATAATTTGCCTATCATTCCATTATACCCAAATTGTGACAAACTTGCATTAGATATGGGTAAAACTAACATAACAGTTCCTATTCATTACGTTCTATTGCATTTTGATCCCTATTGGAAAATGGACATTTTTTAAAATTTTGGTCATTTTTTTGTCGAAGTGCTGATAAAGTAATTTATCATCAAAGCAATAAACAATAGTCTATTTAAAACATTTTTTTTGTTTTTTATTAGTAAATTGGCGCTTGGACTACACCTTAATTTTCATATTGGTAATATCTAATTATCTTCTTTTACTAATTTTACTCGAAAGTGAGTGAAATCCAATGAAGGCATGCTACATATTACGTTCTTATTGGCTTGTATGTATTAGTTGGGTAAGCTAGGATCAAATTGTATGTTTAGAGATAAACTAGAAAAACATGAGAATCGAAGTATAGTTTAGGGACCGTTTTACAATAAAACTATTTACTCTTTAGAATTTAGAATAAAGAAAAGCATAAGGCCGCCCCGCCCCCTTTACTCAACTGTGATAGGCACGTGAACAGTTAATAACCCCATTTTTCATGGCAGGCCACCGGCGTGAACCGCCAACCAGGCTGGCGTCATCTACACTTAAACTTACCGAGGGCGCGTCATTCAACAACCACCCCAAGATTCACGTAAAACCCGCGAAAGCGTGATCTTCAAGCGCGCGTCTACCAAGCGCCTCCCGCAAGTGTATTTTTGAAGAAAAACAAATTGGAGCGTGAATTCTACAACCTTTTAACGACACGTGTGAAATGCCCATTGACCCGACCCGAATTCGGATTCCTCGAGTCATTTCTACGCTACTCTTTTCCTTTTCTCTGAAAAATCATCCTTTGGCGCTTATCGCCCCCTCTCTTTCATTCCATTCCATCGATTTCGTCGCTAATTCTTCCGGTTTCGTTGCTAAAGAAACAAAACCCTAAGTTCATCTCGCTCTCTTTTTCTGACCCTAATTTCATTTCAAAATTCTCAAATCCATTTCCCTGGTACGTCTGTCGCTTTATCTTTGCTTTTCCCGTCGAATTTTAATTAGCTTCACCGGAGAAGAAAATAATATAGGAAGCTTCATTTTTACTTTTTAAGCTTTGAAGATCTGTTTTGGATTTTTTCCACTTTTTAAATGAAATTATTTGTAACTTGAATACTTCCAAGTTCCTTCTTTTTTTGTCTTTTATTTTTTTTAAATTAAATATCGAATTCGATAATTGCAGATCTTAGATGGATCAAGTCTAAAAGTCCCATGTGGGTGAATTGTAGTTTCATGTTCTCCTCTGATTATTTAGTCAGATAATTAACTGTATTATCGTGAGAATCTATTGCTAAAGCACGTTGTTTCGATTCATTTAAGTTTATCTATCTATATAAAGAAATATATTAACTCTGGGTGTTCTGTTATCAGATGAGACTTGGTATCTTCAACTAACCCGTTATCTCGATCTAGATTTGCACAGCTTTTTTCCCCCCGAAAACAGGTGAGATTCTGTGAAATCCATCCTTCTGAATTATGAATTTTCCCGTCGTATTTGGGTTGGCCATTGATTAGGGTTGTTCATTTTTCGAAGTTCAATGAAGGATGATCTAGTTCACGTGGATGATGGGACATGTATGTCAATTGTATCAAGGAATTTCTGTTCTGTTGCTGATTTGATTGATTTGTTATTTTTTTACGGTGGATGATTTAATTCACTTGTTTGATGAGAACATGGGATGTGAATTTTTATCAAGGATAAGGTGCATTCTGGGTTTTTGTTATGCTTACGGTTTATGGATCTTGAATTTTCTCATTTTTAGACTTTGCTTTAATCTTTAACTTTAATATCAAGTCATTGGTGGATTGCTCTTTAGCAATTTGCAGGCATAGTGAGCACAGGGAGGTCTTCATCCCCGATGATGTGAGAATATCTTGTGGTTTGGAAACGAGGATTTACAGTCCTCCTAGCCTCGGTTTTGTTTGTTCAATGTTAGTAATTTGTGTCTCAATTACAAACATTTCATTATTAGAAAAGGGCGTATCAGTGTAATAGAGAAGAGGCTTAGGGTATAACGTAGCTAAAGTACGTTTTGATAGATTTGGTCATAGACTAATTGGCTGGGCGCAGGGAGCTTTTGTTTCCTGATGGTGTGATAATAGCTTGTGGTTTGGAAATATTGATTTACAACCCTCCTGGTCGCCATGATTTAGTTCCTTCAATGCTAGAAATTTGTCTCAATTACAAACATCTATTACCAGGAAAGGGCATTCAGTGTAATAAATTAGAGGATTGGGGTATAATGTAGCTAATTTTTTTTGTATAGATTTGTCAAAGTTCGCTCGTAACTGGCATTACGAGATTAGAATAGGGTTACTATTGTATCTTATTTGTGTCGTGCGACACAAGGTACTTAGTGTTAACAGCTGGATATCGTTTGTTTTCTGTTAATTATCAATTTTTGTGCTCAATTTAGCAGCCAAAAGGTTACTTGCAAGTAATTCAGAATTTTTATATTGATCAAGATTGCATGCCACCTTCGATTTATCTTTAGATAGCCTTTTCTATCAAGTTTGGGAATGTGAAGCCACCTCTTATACCAATTCCCCCTTTAGTGTTGATGAACATTGTGTGGGTTGGGTACAAAAGAGAGAGAACAAGAAAGAAATGTCCCTGTCTGCATTTTATGCGAGAAAGAGAACTCAGGGTGTCTGTTGCCTCAATAACCATAGTATCTCATTTTTCTTTTAGGACATTGCTGGGAGTGAGTTTATAAGAGAGAGAGAGAGATTACCGTGAACATGCATGATCTGTTTCACAAATATCTTTGATATCTTCAAACAGAATGGCCCGATGTGAAAATAAAACTACTGAAATGACTCAGAGGGCTTTTTTCTAAACCATAACAGAAACTACGGTTTAGATATTGTGTTTTATTGGCCTTAAGTTACCATTAGTTTTAGAAAAATTACAAGCACACTTGAGTAATTGATATGTTTTTACCAGTATATGTTGATTTAAAGATTATTTCTACTGTCGAGATTTTTTTATTGTGAAATATTATTTTGAGGTGTAGTTTGCAAATGGCAAAAGGAAGCAAAGGACAACGTAGAACTGCTTTCCGGCAAATCAGGGCAACCCCATACCCATTGTCCTCACATCGTCGAGGGATCTACGGGGATTTGTACCACAAAAAATGTTCCAAACCTTTGGATAAGAAAGATTGGGAAGATGTAACATGTTCTGTTTGCATGGAGTGTCCTCACAATGCTGTTCTTCTTCTCTGTTCATCTCATGACAGGGGCTGCCGTCCCTACATGTGCGGAACTAGCTTCCGATACTCAAACTGCCTTGACCAGTACAAGAAGTTCTACTCTAAAGTAGTCCCTTCCAATCATGAAGAATCTTTGCATAGTTCCATTGACAATCCAGTTCTAGCACCAGGGGGTTGAGAAGTGTGAAATGACAGAACTTGCACGTCCACTTTGCAGGGGTCAAGTGAAAGGATGGACTGTGGTGGAACCTGCAAGGGAATATTTAAATGCCAAAAGGAGAAGCTGCATGCAGGATGACTGCACCTTTGTTGGGACTTTTAAGGAAATAAGGAAACACATGAAAGCAGATCATCCTTGTGCTAGGCCACGCGAAGTGGACCCTACGCTTGAACAGAAATGGAGAAGGCTCGAACGAGAGCGTGAGAGAGAGGATGTGATCAGCACAATAAGATCAGCTATGCCAGGGGCAGTGGTTTTTGGGGATTATGTTATAGAAGGAAATCATCGTCACTTTGAGACAGATGAAGAGGATGGTCTTGATGCAGATCCTGCAGAAAGGAATGGGAGTTTTGAAGTAGGCTTAGATAGTAGTAATTTTGTAAACTTCTTTCTTCTGCTGCATGCATTTGGGCCATCAGGTAATTACGATCTTGCTAGACAACCAAGGCAACCCACACATGCAGCAAATGAGGATGCTGTTGATATTTGCTACACCTCTCCTGTTGGGGATCCAGGTTCCTCTGGTCAAGATGATGATGAGGATGATGGCGGCGATACTTCTTTGGTTAGCCGCCTTCGCCAGCATGGCAGACTTATTTTAGGACGATCAGGTAGAAGACGTAGACGTAGAGAAGCCACCGGAGGCCAAAAGAAATTTATACCTAAAAAAGGAGGGGAAACAAGAAAGGTTACACATCCTCATAGTGTTGGGAAAAAAATTAGGTAAAAACACAAAAGAATAGACCTTGAATTCACAGCGATGTACTATCTCATTCATTTTAGAGGGCATTATCACAAGGTTGGCTAGGAAAGTAAATGGTGGAAGGAGGATGTTATATCATTTGTTGTTGTGTAATCATTTGGGTGTATTCATAATTCCTTTCCCTTATGTTTAGTTGGAAAGCATGTAATTTGTTCAGTTAAACTTCTGCTAATCATCTGATCTTTTGTATATAGACTTGCATTGTCAAAAAAAAAAAAAAACCTCAGGCCTTTTCACAGGATGGGGATGCAGGGAAGACTATGCACAGATTGAGAAGTCTTCAAATGCAAGTTAACATTTAATTGTACTTTTGGGTTCATTGAAATGCGCCCTCTAATTTGTTCAAACAATCTTTCTATTGTTGTTTGTTCCCCTCTTTTTACATACAAGGTTGTATTCGTAGGTTTACTATGACTTTTGGTATTTAATTTTGGCATTGATACGGTGCTCAATTCTTTTTGTGCAATGAGGTATATCTAATTTTTTAATGGTGCAATGAAGTATTTATTTATTTTTATTTAATTAAGAACTTAACTTTTTATGTGTGATGCAATTAGATATCTTACATTTTTAATTGCATATGTGCAGTTCTAGTTGGTTTAACTTATAAAATTAATTTCATTTAGTTAAAAGACTAATACATGTCATATATTTTAAAGTTAAGCGTTAAATTTCCAAGCATGATTATCATGAAATATAAGAAATATAATTTTTAATACTGTTTATCATGAAATATAAGATATATAATTTTATTAAAAATGAAGTTGGACACT